CAGGTAGCTTGTCTATCTCTCCCTATCGTTTTTTTTTTTCGTACGGACTTCGAGAGCTTTCGTAAACAGTCGTATCGCTCGACATATTTCCGATGGTCGACCAATAATGTCGCTCCCTTTCGTCGCTCCGTCGCTGCCACATATTCACTGCGATAAACTTGGTTGATCTTTCATTGATTTTGCTCGGGTTTCCGTTGTAGTTTTTGTTGAAAATTTACATATCAATGTTTTGAAAGTTGAAGCTTCGTGCAAAAGATGGGACTGTGCATTGTAAGGAGCAATAAGAGAAAACATGTTTTTCAAGACACTTGAGTCACCTTGAAAACCGAAGCAGATAGACGTCGTGGATTTTTACAAGTCTTAGAGTTGTTTGTTTATGACATAGATTGACTATGTTTATGAGCAGGAATCAAGCTGATGTAGTGAGTAGTTGGAAAARAGATATATCTTTACATGTAATGATAGTTTTAGCCAGATTTTTTTTGCTAGTGTAMACTGACGGAAAAAATTATTTGTGATTTGTCAAAGCCGGAAAACTCGAGTGAGCAGTAAGCTTACGTTTTACCGCTTGGTTTAGCTATTTATGAGGATGAATTCGTCTATTTTGATAATGAATAATGTCGTCTAATAATTTTAGATACTTGAAAACTTGAAAACGCTTCGTAAAAAATCTGGTRCAATGAATTGTATGCACTCAACAACCATCAAGATTTGCATAATACAACTTTGGTTGTTTACTGAAGCCAAGGTGACTGAGGTCAACACTGTTCAAAATCATGTATATTTGTACTTTGAAACTGTAATAAAGCTTATCAATATGAACTGTTAACYGGATTAGATTTTTAATTTTATTATAACTAAGCTCATATTTGTCATGTTAATGTTTTTACTAATGTTTCTTTTTCTGAACCTTGAAGAACTCGAAAAGTTTCCATATTTTATACGGAGTGTCTAAACGTCAGGCAGCCTGACGTTTAGTCCCAAGACTAAACGTCAGGCAGTCTAATTTTTTCTTATAAAATCGTCGGAACAACCGTAATTTCACTTAATACAACTTAATACAAGGGAAATGCAATTAAGACCGAAATAATACTGTTCGACAAGTTTCAAACACAAGCACGGCATTTTGAGATTTTCGACTGCCTGACGTTTAGTCCCAGAACTAAACGTCAGGCAGTCGATTTTTGGTGTGAAAAATCGTCGGAATAACCGTAATTTCAATTAATACAACAAGGGAAATGCAATAAAGACCGAAATAATACTGTTCGACAAGTTTGTATAGTCACAAGCAAGGCAGTTCGAGATTTAGCACAAGAGAAATGGAATAAAGACCGAAATAAGGGTTTAGTCAAATGTTATCAGGGGGAGGGGAGGTGGAAATTGAAAAGTGGATACTGGGAATAGGGTGAGCAATCATAGTGGGGAAGTGAAATTTTCTAGCCCTACTGATATTAGACAGGCAAAATATCGTGACCTTCCCCGTCCCCCTTCAACCACCAGAAAAATTTTTCATTGTCCACAATTAGCATCCAGTGAATCAGTGGTGCAGGGCCTATAATTGAACCATTCTTTCTTCATTTTCAAGGGATAAGGATTAGGATATTTGATAGGCAGTTGATTAGGACATTTGATTCATCTATTCTGAGTATTGCTATTGCTTACTTTATATATTTGATTTACTTTGTTTGTCAGTGTTGTTGTGGCTATTGAACAAAATAAAACACTTTCTTTATCTATTTATACTGTGAACCAATTATTATTATTATTAACTGCCTATCAAATATCCTAATAATTATCACTTCATTCAAAATGAAGAAACAATGTCCTAATTATAGTTCCTGCACTATCTTTCACTGGCTGCTTGGGGGCAATGATAAATTGTTGYKGTAATGGTTGAAGGGGGATGGTCTGATACAGAGAGGGTTAGTAAATTTCACTTCATCCACAACTCTTATTCTCCGTACCCAGTTTTCAATTTCCACCTCCCCTTCTCACTGCTAATTTCTGACAAGACCCTTATTTCGGTCTTTGTTCCATTTCTCTTCAGTGTGCTATTAAGACTTTTCACACAAAAAAATCGACTGCCTGACTAAACGTCAGTCAGTCGAAAAATTGTGCCGTGCTTKTGACCGGGGCTTGTGACTATACAAACTTGTCCAATAGTATTATAGCGGTCTTTAGTGCATTCCCTTGTTTTATTAATTGAAATTACGGTTGAACCGACGATTTTTCAAAAAAAAAAAACATCGACTGCCTGACGTTTAGTTCTGGGACTAAACGTCAGACACTCGAAAAATCTCAAAATGCCGTGCTTCCTGCGTTTGAAACTTGTCGAACAGTATTATTTCGGTCTTTATTGCATTTCCCTTGTTGTATTAATTGAAATTACGGTTATTTCGACGATTTTTCACAAAAACATTTGCTGCCTGATGCTTAGTTCTGGGACTAAACGTCTGGCAGTCACCCGGGCAGTCAAAAAATCTTGTGCCTTGCTTGTGACTATAAAAAATTGTCGAACAGTATTATTTTGGTCTTAATTGCATTTCCCTTGTTGTATTAATTGAAATTACGGTTGTTCCGACGATTTTATAAGAAAAATTAGACTGCCTGACGTTTAGTCCTGGGACTAAATGTCAGGCTGCCTGACGTTTAGACACTCCGTATTTTATAACTTTTTAATTTGTTTTTGTTTATATTACATTTTGCCAGTGTGTTTTCTTTTCCTTTTTTTAAGAAAATTAAGTTACCCTTCACTTTTATTTTCAC